GTGCTTTATAAATAAATGTCAGCTTGTCTAAAGCTTGCATTAAAAGAATTATTACGAAGACGACATCAATTTCAAGAAAACGAAAGCTATTTTTTAGCTTTACTGTGTTATTTTTTTATTCGTGAAATATTAAATTATTTATTGGAAGAGCCTTTAATTAGACTCTTGATAAAATAATACAACAATCCATCTGCACGGTGTTAAAATGCTATTGTTCAAATGTCAAAGTGTACAAACAGAATATTATTGTCAGAATATTGAGATGAACCGAGTTCGAATCCCAGCGGTGACTGGCCGATACGAATTCCGCACCGGGCTTGCACCGACTACAGTGCTGATGTAAAATATCCTCAGTGGTAGATGGATCACGGGTTAGAGTTTACTTGCCAACAGACAAAGCGTGGGAGGTTTTTGTGGTTTTCCTCTCCATGTAACGCAAATGCGGGTTAGATTTATCAAAAAATAAATCCTTCAAGAAAGGCAAATTTCTCTCAATACTTGATCCTGGAGTTCCCTTGTCATCTGGATTGGGTTCAAAATTAGAAAAGGCTACCGAGTTGAACATTGATAGTCTCCAGCTCAAAATTGGGTCGACTGTTCAATGAAGGTTATAAAATGATGGTTGTATTAAGTAAGACTGTACTGATTTTTAGTCTTAAAGAAATATTAACACTATGTTATAATGAAAAGATAAAAGTTATTCTTCAAGTTTTTACCAAATTAGTAAACAAAGTTATCAACAAAAAAAAAATTCTAAATTTAAAAAGTCAAATGCAAAAATTAAAAAAAAAATAGTGACATTTTATAATTCAAATTTATTAACAAACTAATTAAAAGCCAATGAAAGTGCAAAATGCTAGAGGAAAACGACGTATTTTAAAATAGTTTTAGAAAATTGCTAAAAAAAGCCCAATAAGATCGTTTTTATTAGTCTTGTGGACAGACTAGCATTTAACCAAAACAATAACATGTGCAGTTTATTAAATTCTCTACACAATGAAACAATTTAAATCAAACTTGGCCCAATAAAACAATAATGGTGTAACTTTGTAAAGCCAGGAATGCATTAAAATCAATCCAGTGAAAAAAAAAACAATGCAGTAAATTTTAAGACCAGAAGGGCCATTGAAATCAAACCTGTTTCAACAAAACAGTGATGGAGTACCTTTGTTAAAGCAGAATTACATGGAAACTGCACCTGTTTTAACAAAACAATTGAACAACTTTGTTAAACCAGGAACACATTGAAATTTATCCTGATTCAACAAAACAATTTAATAACTTCACAAAACCATCAGGGCTTTAAAATTAAGCCTATCTCGAAAAAATAAAATTGTTTCAGTAACTATGCAAAGCAGAAGCCCAGGAACTTTTTGAAATCAAATCTAGCTTTACAAAACAGCGATCGAGTAATTGTGTCACAGCAGAAACACATTGAAGTCACTCCTCTTTCAACAAAACAATTGAGTAACTTCACTGAACCAGATGGTTTAAATCATTGAAATCAAATAGGTCTTAACAAAACAGTGATAGAGTAACTTTGATAAATCAGAAGCACTTTGATATCGCACCTGTTTTAACGAAATTGCATAATTTTACTAATCCCGAAGCTCATTTAAATCAAATTTATTTCAATAAAACAACAATAGATTAATTTTATTAAATCCTCAGCTCACTGAATTCAAACTTATTTCTAGAAAACAATGATAAAGTAACTTGAATCAACAGCACATTCAAATCAAACTTGAAGTTAGATTGAGAAGTGGAGAGAGAATACACTTTCCTTAATGTTGCGTTGCCTTAAGATGCTTCAATAAACCAAGATATAATTAGTTTCAAATTAAGTGGAAAATTAATCTTCAAAGATAATGTCGTCATGGCTTCTGAATAAACGTGAGTGCCTCATTTATATTCAAATGAGATTACATTTAATAGACACTTCAAGAACGAAAAGAGAGATGAAAGAAGTTTAAAGAATGTTTAGATTTTGTGGTTTTTGCTTCTAAAATATATGAATAGTTTATTTAATCATCTCAGAATACATTCGAAAATTAACTTAATTTAAAAAAAAATGACTCTTAAGATTAAAATATTCACATTCACTCGTTGTATTGAGTTACTTCAGATCTTTTCTGATTTTAAAGATGAGAGTAATTAAAATGCTTTTAATGTAAAATTGTTCTTGAACTATCGTTATTTGCGTTCAATTTATGATAATTCTTCGCTTGTCTAATTAAAGAGTGGGATTTTTATTCTTCATTTTAGAGTTTCTTTAAAATATAAGAGCATTTTGTATTTTGACTTGAGCAATATACAATGGCTGCTTCCATTTGGTGAAAGAAAGTGTTAGCATCTATAAGTAGTTCTTAAAATTGTTAAAACTGTTCAATTCATTTTCTTATTTCATAAAAGATTATTAGAAAGTTTTAATTGAATGCATGTTATGAAGATTTATTAAAAGTACATTATGAAGTGTAATATAACCTTATCTAGAGAACAACCAGCAACGATATTGATAGTTTGCGTCTAAGAAGAAAAGCAAACTTTTATTAAAAATTTGTTTTAATGCTTTTATAAGTATCTGGTCTTCCATAAATGACTGAAAATAAATTCAAGAAAAAGGAAAAGACGGAAGTGTAATAATTGCAGCGTTCTGCTTAGCAAACTGGGATATTTGTCTCTCCTAATTTTATATTAGTTAAAGTCATCAAAAAATGAGGCTGATAACTGACGGTTAACCTAAAGTACAATGTTTTAATCAAACTTTATTTTCAACAGTAAGAAAATGGGACAGTCTGATCATAAAATTAACAGCTGATTGTGTAAATACTGTTGAGAAAGTCTGACTTCAAACATTAAACACTATCTGATAGCTTTTATTAGTTAGCAGCGACATCTGTTGATAAATTTGGTAACTATTTTGAACTTAAAGAATAAATAAATGGTTTCCCTAAGCCGATCGTTGCAAACTGTATATTTCTAGATTCTTACAGTTTTCTCTAAGTGATTTTTGAATGTTAACTCACTATTTAGAACTGGGTGAGTTAAAGAAGTTCAGTGCTCAATGTATTCAATAAACGCATTTTTTAAAAAACAAATTTAATAACAGGGCTCGAAGGGCATGAACATTGTTGATAGCCAGTAAGAATATTTAGCAATTTAATAACTCATGATTTCTATATATTTATCTGAAATACCGATGATATTATTACGACAAGAGAATTTAAAATCGCACAATTGATTAATAACTTTTTGATGCACCCCTTACAATTTGTGATGATTTCGTCTGGAACTCACAATGTTTTTCGAACCACTTTTCGAGCGGTTTTAACCATGCATTGCTAAGTTGCTTTAAAAATTTCAATATTTTCAATACGGAACTATAAACTTGCGAATTTCAAATCGTGACTCAAATGAGTAATCACCTATCGGTTTTTGACCTCGTTCGTTCGATTTTGAAGCGAATTCATTTTAAATCCATGTGGTTTTCTAGCAATTACTGGTACATATTTCTGCATGTCTTCTTAAGCTCCGGATACATTTTAATCAGATATTATTATGCAGGTGTATTTCGAATCACTCATTTGAATAAGAACTTTTTGAAGCAAGAGTTCGATGTTGTGCAGACTTGGCTATGAATTCATATGCCTAGGTATTTATACCCTTAGACTTCTGAATAATTTTTTGCATTGAATTATTTTTGACTAAAAGAAATTTATAATTGTGTGCAAAGCATTTTTAATTCACTTAAACAGTTCTTATGACATTCTTTCTATTCTGGGGATCTTGAAACTGAATCCAGTGAAAAAAATGTTTGTTCATTCAGAGAAAGTAAGATTTTGTGTCGATCATTCGCTTGAAATATCGTCTACACTTATTAACTAGCATATCTGAGGTAACTTCCTCTAGTCATTAAGATTGAGTCCTAGAACGTGAAGATCTAATCATTAGATAAAAAGTTATTCAGGGTGATTCGTTTTTTTTTGGCTCACCGTACTTAGGTTTAAGAATTTACATTTTAGAATTTTTTCGAGTGGGTATAATTTATTGTATCCTGGGTGCAATAGCGATATTCTAATTAGTACTTATAGGTCAAGATGCTTGCATCCATGAATAGTTAATAAAAAATAATTTAACTTTTTCTCTCCGTTCTTCAGTTATAAACATCTGCAACTGCAATGTTATAAATGCTTCGTTGAAATTTCATTTTCACGTCAAATTTCAAATCATTCACGTCAAATTTCAAATCATTGAGTGTGTAATGATATTTATGCTTTGTTTGACTTCAGTTGGTCTGCATTAATTAACAAACAAATTAACGACACCCTGTTATTGAAAAGAACTTTTTGTCTTTCATGAACAAAAAAAAGGGTCTCCTCCTTCGAGAACTTACAGAAATACAAATAAAAGTAGTCCAATAATTATAATCGAATTTAAGATATTAATTTTATTACATATTTAATGATTTTGTTTATTCTTTTTGGTGATATATTTCGTTACTATTTTCTAGGTGCGAATACATTTAATTTCTCATTTTGTTACTAAATTGTTACATTAAGTGTCTGTTACTTATTGAACTTACAAAATTCTGTTTTTTCCATATTTTTACCATATTTTAGCTTTGATAATATGTAATCAAATTTCAAAATTCTACAGTAGATAAAGTTTCAGAAGGAAGTTGAATATTCGTCTGAAAGCGTTCAATTTAATAATGTTTAAAATCAACCTAAGATCGTTAAACCTTAATATGACTCATCAATGCTTTGGTTGTCACCAGGAGAAGATGCGAACCTCCCCGGAGAAAATGCGAAGTATGGGAAAGTGAAAAAAAAAAAAAAAACTCTATTCCATGGAAGACTTTTTTCTTTTTTTTTTACAATTTGCTGTATTGCTGGAGCTTATTTTTTCGTAATTTTTTAAGCATTTCAAAATATAGCGAAAAACAACATTGCTTTGCAATTATTTGCGCTCTGTGAGTGCGTACTAAAATTTTTACTTACGCCACATCTTCAAGCTTGAGACCTTTAAGACGCGTATGCAAAAGTGCACATGTCTTATGGTCTGAAGTATCCACTGCCCTCCTCCTGCTCAATTTCACACCAGGTGGCAGTTCAGGCATAAGCATACTTCCACTACCTTCTTCGTCTTCATTTTGTGTTGGCAATTGCGAGTTGCGGTTCAAATGCAGAAGGTGGGGTGATACATTTGGAGATGATCCTCTTCGGCGACTATTCAAATGACGACTACCAGCAGCTCCAATCATAATATTTGGCTGGAAAGTTGCTGAAAAACAAAGTTAATATTTATAAGAAAAATAATTTATTTTAAACAGTAAAAACATGCGATTTTCAGCAGCCACAAATAGCATATATGTGAGTACAGTAAACTTTATCTAAGACAGATACTGTATAAAGCGGGATTTTACCGAAAACTGAACATTTTGAAAGTCCTGGCAGAACTCTATAGTAGTTTAATGAATTTTAGAACAGAAGAATTTGTAAAAAAAGAAGGATTCCCCATTACAATCATCTTTATAAATTACCATTTTGTCGTTCACATTAATTCCATCAAAAACTGAACATTTTGATAAAATCGCCAAATGCTACTGAAGTTTATCAGATTTTAGAACTGCATATATTTTATAGAAAAAAATATGTATCCGTCATTACAATAATCTTTACAAGTGACCATTTCGTCCTCCAGCTAATTCCTCTGAAATCCCAATAGTAGCTCGTCAGATTTTAGAACAAAAATATGTGTCCACCATTACAATGATTTTCACAAATCACCATTTAGTCATCCTCCGAATTCCAGCAAAAAACGAACATTTTGAAAGTCCTGGCAAACCATATAGTAGCTTATCATATTTTAGAACAGTAGATTTTATTAAAAAAAAATTAATACGTGTATCCGCCATTAGAATAATCTTTACAAATCGTCATTCCCTCATCAATGCAATTTTTAAGAGTGTAAAACACATTTTACCTGATGAGTATTTCCGACATTACAAGTATAGTTTCTGAAATGCAAATTCTAAGTTTGAGTGAAGATATCAGATAATAAGTACTTTGTACTATTAGGAGTAAAATAAAAATATTTTAAAAGTTTTTTTGCCATAAAAAGATATTTTCACACTTTTATTTTTAAATGTTTCTGAAATTAAATTCTTCAATTTTTGCCAGTGTTCTGAGAATTACAGGAAATGAATATAAGAAAAACTTGCCAACTGAAATTCAGAAGGTAATTATAGACATTTTTGTTAGAAAACCGTCTACAAAATTAATCATAATTAATCAGATTTTAGGTTTTAGCGAAGGACAGTATGATTTATAAAAGGAACTGAAAATATCAATGATAATTGGGATAGTGCGACAAAGTAATTTAAATAGAATATATTATAACAGAATATAATAGATGACATTTCAGTTTGTTAATAAAATGTAGAAGCTTTACACTGTCAAAACTACATTATGAACAATATAGAATCAGATAAGAGGAATGGTATCTGATTAATGTACAATAGAAAAGAAGAGAGAACCGTGATAGCCTAACTTAGTCATAATTTACCATAAGTAGAATGACAAAGCTTCGTAAATTTATAACAAACGCAAACTGAAGCAATATATCTATTGTTCATAATTTCATAACGAAATTCATATTTGGACAAATTAGTTCGCATATTATGTTTATAAACTAATCAGTTTAATATAGAATTGACATGTCTATATTTGTTTCCAGACTAGCCCATTTAGTTACTTAAAATATCTTTTTTTTAATAATTTGTTACGAACGTAATCAAATTAAAAGAGGATGTTAATAAACATAATACTAATCAATATTAGATTTTCCAAGTAAATATGAAAGTTATTTCATTGAAGCTAAAAAAATTAAGGCTATTTTTTTTTTATCTAAACCTATTTTATAAAGAACTTGAAATAAACCCTAGGCAGCATGTTATTATAAAATTTTCTGATTTTTGATGATTTCGGAATACTACCATTTCACAAACCATAAATTACTTTGTTCTTGAAGAATTTTGAGAAACCAAGTTCCTTTAACTGTGATCAATTTTCAAATAATAATAAATACGTAAATAAATAAACTATTTCGGTTCGTATTAAAAAGAACATAGTGCTTTTCTATAAAACTATATAGGGTGTTCTTGAACTCATGGTGCATATTTTAAAGGCAATAGAACACAACTGGAAGAGCTTCAAAACATATGACTAAATTTATTTTTTTAAGTCCTTCAAAGTTTTTCTCGGTGAACAAATAGTTTGAGACAATGAGAGAGTGCTACGCTTTTAGCTGCAGTTTTTCCCCAGTAGTAGTGAATAAAGGCCTAGAAACAATTAGCAATTTCATTACTTTTCGTATTAATACCGTGAATGAACGTCACAAAGGTGTTTTTATTCCATATACAGGGATCTGCTTTTCAGAGCTATTCCTTTGGATTTTTTTATTTTAAAGTGAAAGAATGCATCTCTCAGTTAATAAGCAGAGTGCGAAAAAATGTTTTTGGATTAAGATTATTCCCATAGTAATTAAAATGCTGAAAATAAGCATTAAAATAATTAGCACTTTCTTAACTTTTCATATCCATAGCACGAATGTCACTGCTAGGAACTGAATTTTTATTCTGTTCAATCCGATTTGCCTACAGCAATTTATGCGTATACAATGTATGAGTTTCTGAGCAATCTTTAGCATATAGGCAGTTTGAGACAAGAACCATTTGTGAGAGCATAACTGCCGCCTTTTATGCGTTTTGTACAAGATTATTCACAATGGTGTAAACAAAGTGGTTTTACGTACTAAGCATTAAAGTAATTAGCATTTGGTTTTACTCTTTCTGTTAACAGCACGAATAAGCGTCACTTCTGTGAGCGTCGTTTCTATTTCATTCATATGGAGATTCCCTCCAGCGCTACAAAAACGCAAAGGCTGTATTGTATTTCGTGCCTGCTATTCTGTTCTAACGTATGTGCCATGCTTTTAGTAACACATTGTACATTTTGTAGTTATATTTCACCAGTTAAAGCCATATCCTGAGTTTTTCATTTATGTTATTTAGTACGTTCATTTTTCTTTTTTTTTCATTTGGAGCATTCATTTGTTTCATTTAGATATTTCCTTTCATTTCTGTTGCTTAAAAATTTTTTCAGTTCTATAATTTAAAACGTTCATTTAATTTCTATTTTTTTAAACGTTCATTTAATTTCTATTTTTTTAGAATGTTCATTTAATTTCTGTTAGTTAGAACTTTTCTTCAGTTCCATTATTTAGAACGGTCATTTTATTTCTGTTATTTAGAACATTTATTTCATTTCTGTTATTTAGAACGTTCATTTCCCTTCTATTATTTAGAACGGTCATTTTATTTCTGTTATTTAGAACGTTCATTTCTGTTATTTAGAACGTTCATTTTATTTCTATTGTTTAGAACGTTCATTTTATTTCTATTATTTAGAATGATCATTCCATTCCTGCTATTTGGAACGTTCATTTCATTCCCGTTATTTAGAACTTACATTTAATTTCTGTTATTTGGAATGTTCATTTCATTTCTGTTATTTAGAGCGTACATTTCATTTTTATTATTTAGAACGTTCATTTCATCTCTATTATTTAGAACTTTTTTTTTCAGTTCAATTATTTAGAACATTCCTTTCATTTTTGTTATTTCGAACGTCCGTTTCATTTTGTTGTTTAGAACGTTCTTGTCTAAATGCACTAATACTCACCCACAGTATTCAGATACCCTTAATTTCACAATTAAAAGATACACCTTAATAGGAAATAAATTCGAATTTATCTTGTTTTGTCTTTCAAACATAAAAATATTAATACCAGGCAATATTTTTTAAATTTATTTTGTATAAGTTAACTACTTTTAGAAAAATAGATTTATCAATAATTAAAGGTAGATTAAAGAACATGTAGCACACAACTTTTAGATGTATATCTCTCGAGAATTCTATTTAAAACGTTCTCCAGAATTTGCTAAACTACTCTTGGGGAAGAAAAATGAACAATTGCCATGTGTGTTAAGTATTTAAACTATACAATAACACATACTGTTTTCTGAGAAATATTAGAATTAGGAGTTATAATAACAATTTTATTACCACAAATCAATTGTTCCCTTTCTTGGCAATTGGTTTCCTTGGGCCTTAATTAAGGTATGTTGTAACATTCATAAGAATTTCTGGAGGACCCTCTCCCACCGTGAAGTTTTATTTTTGTCTGTAGTAATTGTTACCCACATTTTATTTACTTATTTATTTTAATTTTATTAAAATTAATTTCGGCAATTTATTCGTTCTTTTTTTTATCTCATTAAATTTTAACACATATTTTATTAACTGTATGTTTAAACCTCCGACGATAATGTTCTCTCCATATTAGGAAATCGTTTGTGCCATGACCGTTTTGATAGATTCAAATTAACGTTAATTTTGAATTGCTGCGAAAAATTATCAGAATTAGAATTCACGAAGTAGTGAAATAGAAAAAATGCACAGGGGTCACAGTGGAGAAACAATAAACATTCAATAATCAGTTCGTGGTTTATTAAATGTTAAACTTATAAGAAAAAATACCATGCAGACCACTCTGCAAGCCGCAGAAATGCAGCTGATGAAATGAAATTCAATATGCTGAAAAAACCATTTGTTTACGAACTTAACATGAGCTCTTTCAGAAATTCTAACTTGTTTTCAATTATTACTGCAATTTTAATTTATTTTTTTAAAGTGGTTTGCAAATTGCTGTAATTTTACAAATTCCTTTTTTTAAAAGTGATATTTGGTGCTTTACATTTACATTTTGTTTTGCTGCGCAAAATCTTTAAGAGTTAGTTGGTTGGTGTCGTATCCTCTATAGAATCATATTTCATGGTGTGCTTGAATAGTTTTTGTTATTTCTATGGCATTAAAAGAATACAAATCCTCTTCTGTGGGGTAGTTTAAGAGGTGAAGGCCTGCAGCGACTGCAGGGCAGTTAAAAACATGATATGGTGTCAGTTCCACATTAAGACAGTTGCCACAGTTTTGATATTTTCTAGTCTTATCTGTAGAAATTATCATGTTTTTATGATGTTTTGTTCTTAGTCTGATGAGAGTAGTGGCTGTCTTCCTATCGATGTCAAGATTAGTTATTTGATCGTGGGCTTTGATTTTTAAAGGGGTGAATAGTCTTGACTTTGCATAAGCATTTGCATCTGCCAACGTGGTTGGGATTGAATTTTGATTTAGAAAATCCTTTAAGAGTTAAAAAAAATG